CTCTCTCAAGTACCTACAAAATTTTTTGTCATAGGCTGTAACACCCATTACAAACTTCAAATTTGAAACAATTCCGGTGAATAATGTCGCTAAAATCATCAAAATACAGAATTTCGGGATGTATCATTATGGGGGATATACGAAGACGTGGACCGACATGGCCCATTTACTTAAACTGCCCACTGGTAAACTATGCATGTATGCAAAATGTTAGCCTTCTATCTCAATTCTTTCGAAAGATAGCGTGATTACAACAGACAGACAGACGGACATGAATAGATCGTCTTAGAATTTTACGCTGATCCAGAATATATATACTTTGTAGGGTCTATTATAAATATTTCGAGGAGTTACAAACGGAATGACAAAGTTAATATACCCTCCATAGAATGGTGGAGGGTATAAAAATCACCAATACGTCAAAAAATGGGTCCATTATGAGACAATAAACAATATATGACAAATTACGCTTGCCGTTTTGAAAGTTTATATTTAGATATTATTTATTAATTTTCCATTTTATGGAATTAGCTTTGAGCTAAGCCAAGTTTTGCATTGGATTTCTATTGCTATCAAAAGTAACCAGTTTATATACTGATAGCATTGGTTTCAATTATAATGTATTGGTTTTCTCCGAAACTTGGTTAAAAATATATATATTAAATAGTGAAATTTTATGTTCAAAATATCAAATATTTAGAAAAGATCGTGTTTGTAAAAAAGGTGGTGGCGTACTTATTGCAGTTGATATACCAATATACACCAACAAATATACCACTAATTTAATTGATCTAAATGATTTTCTTGATATAGAATTTGTTGGTGTTTCCAAATCTAAATTGTTTGTAACTTGCTCTTATATTCCCCCTTCATCTTCACTTGACATTTATAATCAGCATTTATCAGCAATAAATTTAATCACTGAAAAAATGAAAGATTCCGATCGCATCCTGATCCTTGGTGATTTTAATATGCCTTCCATAAGGTGGCTTCCAATGCCAGATTCTGAAGCTTTGATTCCTTTGCCACCCGAAACGAACAGTACCCAGTATACATTTGATGTTATAAATAGTTTGTGTGACTTAAATCTTTATCAAATAAACAGTGTGAAAAATACCCGCGGCAAAATTCTTGATTTGGCGTTTGTAAATATAACACAGTATTTTGATATATTCAGAATTCCTCCAATATGCATTCCTGAAGATATTTACCATCCAACTTTATATGTCTCCATGACTCACAGTTATGTAATTGAAGAAAGTCAGTCTGACCCATTTAAAACTGTCCTTAATTAAAAAAAAACTAATTTCCAAAAACTTATGTAATTGATAAATTTTATGATATTTTAAATAGATTTAAACTGGAATGTGTTCCAACAACTAGAGTTAAAAATTCAAATAAATATCCATGGATAACCCCTGAGTTATCAAGTTTAAAAAATTCTAAAAATAAGGTTTTTCGTAAATATAAAAAATCGGGCTTAACAAGATCAAAGGCTGATCAAATTTTTATGCCTTTTCTACAACGTCAGGATGTGTCCAATAGTCTGCTTAGTTTAAAATCGATTAAATGTCCAGGACCGGATGGCATACCTAATATAATTCTTAAATATTGTGCAGAAACATTAGCACTTCCGTTAACTATATTGTTTAATTATTCTCTTAAATTTGGTAACTTTCCTACTTTCTGGAAAAATATCTTATATTATACCTTTACATAATTTTGGTAGTCTTACTAATGTGTCAAATTATAGAGGAATTGCAAAATTAAATGCCATTCCAAAATTGTTCGAAAAATTAATTACTGCAGTAATTTCACTGAATATTCAATCTATATTGAGTCCACATCAGCATGGTTTTCGTAGTGGTCTTTCAACTACAACAAACGATTTTACCTAACGATTTACCTAATTCCATTAATTACTCGTAATTGTTAATGTACGCAGATGATGTTAAATTATTCATTTCCCATAATTGTGATAAACAAGCTAGTTTACTTCAAAACGATTTAGATAGCCTTTTTAAATTGTGCAGGTTAAATTGTATGGAGTTAAATTTAAGCAAATGTAAGCATATGTGCTTTTCCAGATCTTCTTCTCTGATATTACAATATAATATTGACGGTCATTCATAATCAACTGGACCCAAAATTAAATTTTAATAGCCATGTAATAACAATGGTAAAAAAAGCAAATGGTGTTTTAGGTTTTGTTAAACGGTGGGCCAAAAAATTGTCTGATCCATATATAACAAAACAGTTATATACGGTTCTGTTGTATCGGATCCTCAATATGCAATATACTCAGATAAAATAGAATCCGTGCAAAAACAATTTCTGCTATTTGCCTTACGAGGTTTACATTTGAATAGTGATTTTGTTTTGCCTTCTTATGCTAGCAGGCTAAAATTAATTAGATTGCCTACACTTAAAAGCGTATTTTGGTTTGAGTTTAGAAGTTATTAAATCTAGAATAATTTTATTTTTAAACAATTAAAATACATGTTTTATTATTTGACAAACTAGCTGATGAATTAGACTCTGTAGCTGGTTTTCAATATCCTACTAAATTCCCATTATGATGCGTATCATGATGTGTACGCGATCCCTTCGTAAAGGGTGGTCGCCCCTTCGGTCGGCAGGGGTGGGAATGTAAGGCGTGGATATGATAAAACAAGGCTTTTACATAATTGCCAAAGGTCGGCTAATTAGAAAAATTATTAAGTGTATGAAAATTATGGATCGCGTACCAGCAGTATACCGCTTATGTTCGAAAACATTCGGTCAGCAGATGTAGTCAGGGGTATGAGTGAAAATATTGAAGTCAGTCAATTCCAAAATCTTAAAAACATTATTTACCAGCTAAAAACTGTTTCATAATAAAAGATAAGTGAAAACGATGACATCAAAAAATACGGGGAATATTTAAGTGAAATGAAAAAAATGATTAAATTTTGCCTCTCCATTTGTCTATTATATAACTATAATTATGTGAACTAGTTGAGTTTCGGCTCCCTTGCCTATCGTTTGCAAACTTTACAAGTATCCTTGGGAACCACGATATAATTTTCTTAGTATATCCATACTCCTCGAGTTATGTGCCCAACAATATACTGGGACCCTGGTATATTTCCATTGTAAAAATAATCAAGCCGATATGTATACCAGCGCGACTATTAGCTTTCTATCTTTAACAAGTTAAAAAGTATCAGTCGGGTTTGCCGACAGATGTATACCCTCAGCCTATGTTCGAGTATTTAAGTATATTTTGACTTGTGTTGCGATTAATATAATATAAATATTGCGTTGTACCATGTATGGACTACATTGACATCTTCCTTCACTTTATATGAGATATGTGATAATTTTTAGAAAATGTTAATATGTGCGTAAGGTAAAAGACATAGTCTCTACCAAAGTATTCCATTATTATACTTCATCTAATTCAGTTAAAAAATATTAATAAGGGCAAAATTACAATAATTTCGATAAATATTCATATTCATATAATGCTACTAATTGAAAGATATATTTAGATATAGCAAGTTGTAAAGAATCACTGACTTTTTACTCAAGTTATGCCAGATAAAAGTTTTGAATATGGTGACCCTTCACAACAGATATTGTGTTAGTAAAAATGTTTGGATATGTGAAATGTAAAGAGAGTTGGATTCTTACTTCGCTTTCTTCCTTAGCGTTTTGCTTTTCAAAGTATTGAAAATTATGTTGGGGAGGTTACAGAAGAAATGGTCTGATCTCTACCATCTTTACAACAAATCTTGGATCTTGATGATGGAAATATTGAGATGTACCAAGTCTGATTGTAATCGAATGTTAATTTAGTGTTTTATGAGGTCCATGAATATTCATAATTTTGACCCTTTATGGGGGAGGTATCAAGAGTAGTGGGCCGATATATTCCATCTTCACAACAGATTTGTTAGTAGAAATAATGGTATGTGAAAATATAAAGAAAACCCGATGCTTATTTCGGATTTTATAAAGGTTTTTGTTATTCAAAACTTTGACCCTTCGTGGGGGAGGTACCAGAAGGAATGGTCCGATCTCTACCGTTTTTATAACCTATCCCGTGTTAATCGAAATATTCAGATGTACCAAGTCTAAATGGAATCAGATATTTATTTCGCGTTTTATGAGCTTAATGCATATTCAAAATATTAAGCTTTATTTTAACCGATATTATACATCTTAACGCCAAATCTTGGGTTTATAAAAATATTGGAATGTGTGAAATTTGAAGACAATCGGATTCTTACAACATAATAGTTATAATTATTCAAAATTTTGACCCTTTGTGGGGGTGGTACTTGATGGAGTGGGCCGATATTATCCATTTTTGCACCCGACCTACTAGCACAGACGCAAACATTTGGATTTGCAAAGTTGGAGCAAAATCGGATTATCATTTCTCTTTCTGTGCAGAAAATATATTTTTTGAAAATTTCGAACTTTTGTGGAGGAGGCACCACAAGGAGTGGACCGATATTGCCCATCTCCTAACTCGATCTAAGTTTGACAAACGTATTACGATCCCTTCGAGAGTTATCGTGCGCACCAGCCAGACAGACAGACAAACGGACGGTCGGACATCGCTAAATCGACTCCAAATATCCTGAAACGGATGAAACGGATGGGCATGTATCAAATGATATATACCCTAGCAGCCATATGGCTGAGGGTATAATAATTATTTAATAGTCGGCCTTTGTGGGCTTCCAATTTTCTTCAACGGCTACGCGTTCCAACGGCTCTAAATATGATACCAACGAAAAAAAAAATGGTCCTTGAAATTTTGCTTTTATGTAAACTTAAACAAGTTACTTAAAGTATTAAGTAGGAATGCGCCCTAATAGCGAAGTTTTGAGTCTGTAGGGCAACCTATGTATATTTTTACTTATTTACACTACGATCATACTAGTTACCCCATTTACGTAAAGTTCTAACTTATAAATGTTTATATCGATTTCTCAAAACGAACTAACCTCTTAAGCTGTTCCTCTGCTCGTAGTTTAGCCTTCTTCTTATTTTTACTTGTAGGGTCTATCTGATTCATCATCCACTTGACTGAATAGTACGTAATCACTGAGGCTATTGACACTCGAATGAGCATTTGGAAAAAATCATTTCTTGATACTTGGGATCCACCAAAATTAAAATTTTCCATTGCAGAGATTGCCAAGGTCCACAACGTTCGAGTACAATTAATGATACTATAATAGTAATACTAGAGATGTCAAACAATCGACAGCAATTGTTATTTTATTTTTTTATCGATGTACAATTATGCTATGTTCTCACTGCACATTCAATCAAGTTGTTCGCGCTCAGAATTGGGTACGGCACGATTCGTAATAGCATGTTCACACGGTAAATTGAATGACGTTGTTTGCTCTCAGAATCACGACACGAATTAACCCGTTCATACGGCACGATTCGTAATTCATAGTAAAATAATTACTTTTTTTTTTAAAAAATTTTGTTTGTTGATTTTTGAATTGAATTTATACGAAAATGCATGAAATTCTCTCTAATATGAATGGAAGAAATTATTGTTTTTCTCCCAAAGATTCATCATATCATTAATTTTACAATTTTCATTCACGTTTTCAACTTTTTGTGTAAATGTTGACATTTTGAACATATTTTTGTATTTTTCTATTTTTAAATTCTGCTGGAGAGACACTTGTCAAACAGTTTTTCTGCCGATACAAACATTTTGAAAATATTGCTCTTTTGTTTGCAGTTTTCTGTGGAAATTTCAACTTGTGGACAAAATGCGTACCTCGAATAAGAGAGAAAACAAAATTTACTTTCGTTTGAATGTACATACGCCATTCAACATTGTAGTTTTCATTCATAATTTTCAGTCTTCCCAAAAATTTTTAATATTTCATTAAATTTTTCTATTTTTAATTTTTAAATGTCATCATTTAAGGGCTAAGTACATAAGAAGCTTGAAGTCATGGCTAGGCATATTAATGTCAAATTATAATGGAAAACGACGGCTGGATTTTAGTGCGGCTCTGTAATCCCTTTGTGAAATGTCACAAAATATGCCTAGCCATGACTTCAAGCTTCTTATGTACTTAGCCCTTTATTTTTCGATAAATGCTCTCATTTGTTAGGGATGGAAAACATTTTTTCGTTGTTATGAGAGTGATTTGATTTGAACAATGTACAAATATGAGGGTTCGCTCAGGAAATTGTGTGTGAAGAATTAGGTAGTTTTTTCATAGTTAACGGTCAAACAACGAATAGAGATCGAATCAAGTGCAGTGGAAACGCCACATAATGCTATGTTCTCATTGCACTTTTAATCACGTTGTTCTCTCTCAAAATTAGGTACACGAATTACCCAGTTCATACGGCACGATTCATAATTCATAATAAAATAATTCCTTTTTTCAAAAATTTTGTTTCTTGACTTCAATGGGATTTTATATAAGAATATACATGAAAATCTCACTTATATGAATAGAAGAAATTTTTTTTCTCCCAAAGATTTATTATATCATTAATTTTAAAAATTTCATTTATGTTTTCAACTTTTTTTGTAAATGTTGACATTTTGAACGCATTTTGTATTTTTCTATTTTAGAATTCTGCTGAAAACATTTTTTTCTGCCGATACAAACATTTTGAAAATATTGCCTCTTTTGTTTGCAGTTTTCTGTGGAAAATTTAACTCGTGGACGAAAAGCGTACCTCGGATGAGAGAGAAAACAAAATTTACATTCTGAGTTTTGCCTTGTTAAGGCGAAGATCATATGTTTTATGATTTATGTGTTTGTTTTCTCTTTCGAGACGAACTTAATGATCAGGAATTAGTGCACTAAGAATTAAATAATTAGAATCAAGAAAAAAATCTTTGTTCGCTCAGCAAATTTTAGTGGTGAATTAATTAGATATTTCTTAATTAATGGTCGAGCAAGGAATAGGGAGCGAATCATGTGTCATTTAAACTTAGCATAATTCATACAGGCATGTCACATGGTAGAAGAATATAGGTAGACGCGTCGACACAGCTGTTGGGACAATGAACTGTCAAACCAATTTTGAAATTGAAAATGTTGAATGAAAAATTATTTGAATTTGGAAAAATTGTTGAAAAATGCGGATTATAATAGCCTCCGAATGACGTAGTATAAGAAAACATATAAAAATCTACTTACATTTGAAAAAAAAATATTTTTTTTGACATATCAATGCTCCCAAGCGTTAATGCATCTACCCATGGTACAATGAAGAGAAGGTAGGCCAAATTTGAAAAAATTGCAAGTATAGAGGTCTACCTGTTTGGCTTGTAATGTCAGAATTAGTATCAAAACAATAAAAAATCAAACAACTTGTTGCATTTATTTTGAATAAATAATTGAAAACCGCGATAACTGAATAAAAGGTCAACACTTCTTTTCAAAATCATGTACTATATATCTCTAAAGGATTATTTCGCTACAAAAACTCTAGATTTTGTCGATGCATACGTTGAAAAATCATCTTGAAAACACCCGAATTTGAATATTTTCTCAACAATTTTTTTGTTATTGAAAAGAAAACAAATACATAAACAAATAAAGATGACATAAGATGACAAGAAAATAAAAAAATTAAAATCATATAGTATCCTAGCCCTACCTTGATATCATTGTACCATGCATCTACCTGTATTCTTCTGCCATGGGTATGTCACAAGAATGAATTCTGAACGCAAGTGATTTTAATTTCGTGTTTTTTGCAAGTGAAATTGTATTTTTTTGGAAACTTGTGACTTAAAACACTCTCAAAATACTTTTTAGTAATAAAAATTTTGTCTTTATGACAAATACACAATTACATTTTTAATCTTTTTATTCAAAATAATTAGCTAATTCTAATGGTTTCTCAATTGACGAAGACAATTGTTAACATAGTGTTGCAAAATCACTTTTTTCGTCAAACGAAAATTATTCATCTGTGAAAACCCAACAATGTGGTATTACGAATTATAAACTGAAGCAAAGAAAAAAAAAACAAAACAAAAAATAATTTTGCACAAAAATGTATCTTAATGTGTTGTGGAATGATGTTTAATCTATTAATCATTAATTAATATTTTAGGGCCAGGCAAAGGAATTCGGTCCGAAGCATCTCTTAAATTTCTCCGGCGTATTTTTTCAGTATTGTGTTAATTACTTTGCGATTCAGTTACAAAAAAATCGAAACACCAAAAAATAATGAAATAATCTTTCTTTTTGCACAAAAAACTCTCATTAACAGAATATTTTTCACAAATTACACTTCTACAATGTTTTCTAATCATGTGTTTTGATTCCTCATTCATTCGGCATTCCCCTAATGTTACCATATTGAATATATAATGTTGCCATATTTACACTGAATTCGTAGTTCATCGTACGAAATCGCGAAATTCAAACCATTTTGATACGATTTTGTGACATGACTAATAGTAAAATAATTACTTTTTTCAAAAATTTTGTTTGTTGATTCTAATGGAATTTTATACGAAAATACTTGAAATTCTCACTTATATGAATAGAAGAAATTATTGTTTTTCTCTCAAAGATTTATTATATCATTAATTTTAAAATTTTCGTTCATGTTTTCAACTTTTTGTGTAAATGTTGACATTTTGAACGAATTTTTTTATTTTCCTATTTTAGAATTCTGCTGGAGAGACATTTGTCAAACATTTTTTCTGCCGATACAAACATTTTGAAAATGTTGCCTCATCATGTGTAATTGTTATTTAACTATTCATAACATTTAATTTTAATCCCTCCCTTTTCAAATGCTTCTGCAGGAAGGATATTTAGCAAATGATTTTTGGGAAAGACAATAAGTGAGTGTGACTCTTTTCCTTGTGAATGCTCGACACTTTAAACGCTTGTGATTTAATTTACAAAGGAAGGTAACGTAGGGTACACTTCGGTCCGACACAGTAAAAGTTCAATAAAACTTAAGAGTATTAATCAAAGTTTAATATATTTATATTTGATATTTTTGTTCTGTAATATTGGTATAAAATGAATCTAAGTTTATTTTTGTGCTATGTAGCAATTTTTATATAATTTTGCAACAACAAAATACTACGGTATCCCGAACAAACAAGCCACACTGTTCTAATAATTTTTATTAATAAAAAATTATGACTATTTTCCCCCCAAATGTGTAACATTTTTATCCTCCATGTGTAATATGCAGTTTCAATGCTGGCAACACTATCATAGAGTGTTCCAAAACCAGCAAGAATCAGGTGCGTGAAGTTTGCAACGACCCAAAATTTCGATAACAACGAGTTATTAAAATTAATTTATTTAATGAAATTGTGAATTAAAAACCGGTGTTCAGGACAGAAGATCGGCTCACTAAAATAGGAATAGTAAATAATTGCATATAATAAATTTAAAGTCATTTCTCAAGGGATTGATGCGAAAGACCGCTATCAAATCAAAAACAGTATAATTTTCCAGCTTGATTTGAGCGGTGTTCAGGGCAGAAGATCGGCTCACTAAAATCCGGAAGTCATTTTCCATTACAATTTGACATTAATATGCCTAGCCATGACTCCTAGCTTTTTATGTACTTGCACCTTTAGTCAGGACAGAAGATCGGTCCTGTATGTGAAATTGGGGTGTTCTGTGTCAACCTGTGAATTTCGATAACTCGTTGTTATCGAAAGATAGCGTCGTTGCTAATATCACGCACCTAAAGCAAAATGAATAGATGAACTATGTGCGCTGAAAACTTCATGAATAAGTACACGAGTTTGATGTCATGCGTTTCGACCGTGTACGAGGAACTTAAGAATTACCGATAGATAGTTAGTGTTAAGTTACTTTTTGCATGTATATTTTGTGTTGGAAAGTTGTCGATAACGAAGAGGATTCCACTAATGATAACTTTTCTTGGGCTTTTTAGTTTTTAAAGCGTACGGGAACACAATTATTGTATATATTTCTGAGGTACGTAATCGCCGTTGAAACACATCGCTGCCGGTTCAATTTGTTTATATGCTGTCGCCCTAACATTGGCTTCGTAACTCTTTCAGACATATTTTTATTTTGTAAACAAACATGAAGATCACGAAAAGGGGAGAGTTTTCTATAGATGAATTGCAGCTTATTTCTGATTTAGATAGGTATGTTTTGCAAAGCAATTATGTGACATAATTTAATTCCTAAATTTTTAGTAAGCAGTTTGGTTGTATTAAGAACAATAGCTCTGAAAATGATTTGTTGCGTGACTTAACCCGACGAGCTATTTTCGTTTTGCAAGCCATTACATCTAATAATGCGAAAGAGTCGGAAAATGCTGAAGAAATACATCATCCAGAATTAGAAAAACCAGCTTACTTTGACACCAAATCAAATAACACTAATTTTTACAAGGAACAAATACCTTTTCATTCAAATAAACTTGTTGATCCTCATACATTTTGCAAATTGGGGCATCTGCACTTACTACTTGGGGAATTTGATGAAGGTTGTAAATGTTATTATTTTGTTTATCTTTAAAATTAATATTTTTACGTTTAGCATTGTCCGCGTACCAACAATATTTCAAGCGCGAGGAAAATAGCAGGCGTAATCTAGACTTTTTATATGGTCTGGGCATAACATATTTCCATTTTAACGCTTTTCGTTGGTAAGTTTTCTTTTTAATCACTTAAATAATATTTACAGTATTGTCCGTTACCAATATCTCTCCTCGTATCGTAAAGGGTGTTTTTAAGCCCAATAGAACTTGAAATTGTAAAAAAATAACAAAAAATTAAATTTTAATCAACATTTTTTTATTCGAAAGATTAATACGTGACATTAACATTTCGGGCATATGTGCACCGCGGCTGTTCTTAACGAAGTGTATTCTGGACGTCCAATTTTAGGCCACTTTTTCTAGCACTGCTGGCCGTATGTCTCGAATAACACGAAAAATGCTGGCATCCAAGGCGTCAATTGTTGCTGGTTTATCAGCATAAACCAGTGACTTCACGTAGCCCCACAGGAAATTATCGAGAGGTATCAAATCGCACGACCTTGGAGGCCAATTGACAGGTCCACTTCTCGAAATCAACTTATCGCCAAATTTTGATTTCAATAAGTCGATGGTTGCGTTCACGTAACCATGGCACGTAGCGCCATCCTGTTGAAACCACATCTCCTCCGGATCAACGTCATCCATATTTTTAAACAAAAATCATTGATCATGGTGCGGTAACGATCTCCATTGACAGTAACGCGAGCTCAGGCCTCATTTTTGAAGAAATAAGGTCCGATGATGCCACCGCACCATACGGTGCATTTTTCTGGATGTAATGGAGTCTGTTGTTGTAGCAGTAGTACATGCATGTGTTTGCGTTCTGCTAATCTGGTTCCAGCTCCAGGTTTAGAAATTCGGCTACTTTAATGGGCTGTAGCCAGAGATCTTCTGGAGTGAGTTCGGTAGGTTTGTAAAAGAGGTGTAGCGTATTGTGCGGGCCTGTATCGCACGCCGGGCAGGCGTCACGCACATTTTCATCAATTCGTGCCCAATACGAATTAAGACGACTACACCATTCTGAACGTAATTGCGCCAAAACTACCCTGGTTTGTTGTTGTTGTTGTAGCAGTAGTACATGTGTGTGTTTGTGTTCTGCTAATCTGGTTCCAGCTCCAGGTTTAGAAATTCGGCTACTTTAACGGGCTGTAGCCAGAGATCCTCTGGAGTGAGTTGGGTAGGTTTGGCTGAGCAATTAAAAAGGTGTAGCGTATTGTGCGGGCCTGTATCACACGCCGGGCAGGCGTCACGCACATCTTCATCAATTCGTGCCCAATACGAATTGAGGCGACTACACCATCCTGAACGTAATTGCGCCAAAACTACCCTTGTTTGTCTAGGCAGCTGACGTTCTTCAGCTGCAATGGATGGCGGGTGGACTCCGAGGACGGCATTCACTTTATAACTACTAAATGACATCCGCGACTGCATCGGTATGAATGCCACTCAGACCTGCCTGATAGGCTTATTGATGTAAAGGTTCTCTCTTATAGCGCTGGACCACCCTCTCTAGATCATGTATGTCCTTCCTGACACGCCTGGGTGGGCGAGATTTATCCACCATATGATGGTTGGAATGACTCTCACGGTAACACCCAAGCAGGTACTGCAACGAAAGCATATTATGCTGACGTATGGGAAGGACTTTCGCCTCCTCATGTAGATGGTCCACTGGTGTCATGAAAATGCACCCTGTCGCAGTTCTCAGGGCAGCGTTCTGTGTTCTCATCTGCGCAGACCATGTGATAAAGAGTGTGGCCGTTGATTTCGTGGCGGATATTTTCATATTCCTCGCGTGGAAGTATGCGGCAATTTACGCGAGATAGTGATTCTTTCGCATATGTCATCGACCACTGGGCCCGACGCCATGATCGTACAATCATCCGCATACGTTACGATCTCAATGCCGTCTGGAGGGCGAGGAATTCCGGAAAGGTAGAAGTTAAACAGTTCCGGAGAAATCACCCCACCATGGGGAACTCCCTGTTTCACTCTAGGGGCTTTGGACTTCTTGTTCCGGAATTCCACGTACGACTGGCGTCCACACATATAGTTGATTATCCAACGTTTCAAACTTGGAGGGTAGTTCTCTGCACGTCCTCAAACATTCTGGCATGATTGACCGTATCAAATGCCTTTGATAGGTCAAGGGCTACCAACACTGATCTGTTCTGTCGCTTCGCCCTATTGCTCGCGGGGTGCTCAACAAATTGTCGGTTAAAATACTCCGCGCACCTCTTCGGTACTATGGTTAAGTCTGGCGAACTGTGACACTCTCCTCTTATTCGGGTGGGGGCATCCTCGTTGTCCGTGCAGAATGTGGAGCGGTCAATCTGCTCTGCCAGCGCTGACTCCCTCTGGTCATTACCTAGGACGAAATGCCACAACTCATGGTGGGCATTAAAATCCCCTAGTACCAGGCGGTTATTGCCTACCAACAATGTGCTAATATCAGGCAAATAACGCGGTTCACAGCTATTAATCGACCGGATATACACATTAAGAATCTCTACCTTGGCAGTTCCACACTTGACTGCTACCCCCATACATTCCATGTATGGGTCACTAGAGACTAGCTAAAGCGAGATAGGTCTGTACTGAACAGAATGGGGTAACAGGAACGCTAATCCCCCACCTCCACTTCTGGTGCGATCCTTCCTTCGTACGTTGTAACCATAACAACGTTGTAGGCTGCAATTTTCATTCAGCTTGGTTTCCTGCACCGCTGCGATCTTAATATTCCTCCGACTCATAAATTCCACTATCTCATCTATTTTGCCTCGAAGTCCGTTGCAATTGAATTGCAAGAATAATGCACAACATGTGGCGTTAGGTGCTGCGGTGTTAGTTGCTGTTCTGGAGACTGCGGTGGAGTGCCATACTCCGACGACGTCTCTGATGAAGACGACGAAGAAGTGGACTCGCTGGGGACTACGTTACTGCAGCAAGTCGCAACATAATCCCTTTCGCTGTAGTCTCGAAAACGCCTTAGTCCGGAACATTTTTTGAAGTGCACATCCATTACATCGCACCGAAACAGATCTGTTGTGGATTACTTTCTGACAAACCGAGCAGAACCAAGGTCCGGGGTTTTCCTCAATCCCGGCACGGACCAATAAAATTCGGAGCAAGCATTCAATGGAGTCTGTAGGGTCTCTTGTGGGTTGGTCTCACTTCATATGCGGCAATTTTGCTTATTAACAAACCCGTTAAGCCAAAAATGCGCCTCATCGCTGAACACAATTTTGCGATAAAACAAATTGTCATTTACCAACTGCTCTAGAGCCTGATTTTCAAAGTAAATTTGGATACTTTCATAGCGTTTTTCAAGCGTGAGTCTATTCATGATGATTTGTCAGAGTATACAGAAACAAATAAAAAAAGTTTCATCAAAATTTAATTTTTTGTGTTACTTTTTATACCCTCCATCATACTATGGCGGGAATTAACTTTGTAACTCCTCGAAATACTAATGTCAGACCCAACAAAGTATATATATTCTTGATCAGCGTAAAATTCTAAGTCGATTTAGCAATGTCCGTCTGTCTGTCTGTTGTAATCACGCTATCTTTCGAACGAATTGAGATAAAAGACTAAAATTTTGCACACGTGTTTATTTTTCCAGTAAGCAGGTTAAGTTCGTAAATGGGCCATGTAGATCCACGTTTTCATATAGCCCCCATATGTAAGTACCTCCCGATATTCGGTATTTTGATGATTTTAGCAACATTATTCACCGGAATTCGTATAGCCCCCATATATCAGTACCTCCCTATATTCGGTATTATGTCTATGCAGGTCCAGGTCTTCGCCCAGCTCCGATATAACGGTACCTCCCTATATACGATATTTTGATGATTTTAGCTACATTATTCACCGTTTATTTCAAGTTTCGAATTTGAATATGGTAATGGCTTATGACAAACAAGGCCTATGTAGGTAAACGTCCTATAGACCCTAATATGACGGCTATATTCGGTATTTTTTAAATTTTAACCGAATTTTTTAGGGACCATATTCATTTCATTTCATTTATTTACCTTACAAAGAAATATAAATAAGCCCACAGGCCCATAACTTATATTATCTATCTACAATACCCTAACATAATACAAATTCAATGATTAATTCAAACTTAACAAATAACATATTAAACCTAATAATTTATCTTAATAATTCACGAGAAGCTCGAACCCTACACCTCGATTCACCATCACCAACCAAACAATAGTCTAGTAGAGCAGTGAAAAAGTGTAGCAGAAACGAGCTAAAAATAAGAGAGAACTATTTTATTACTCACAAAACAGAGTATAAATAGTAACTCACATTATACCCTACAAATAAAATTAAGATGATAATATAGTGGCTCCCCAGCCCAACAAAAAGAAAAACCCATAATAAACCGACGCAACCACTACAAAAACATAGCCTACATATTTAGGCGAAGGTATTCAATTACTTTAACCCTAAACAGATAATTGGTATGGGCCAAAGTACGTAAGGCCAAAGGAAGCTGATTCCACAATCTCACCGCCCTAACCACAAATGATCTCTCACCAATGGAGGACCAAAACCTTGGACACAACAATTGAGGATTTCGAGATGATCTACAAAACACAAAGTTGTCACGAAGAGGCGAGTCAAAATTGCACATAACACTGTAATGAAATTGAAGAATACGAAGATCAACGTAGCTGCTAAATGGCAATCCCAGGAGATCATTAACAAAACAAGAAACATGATCACCACGACGCAAGCCATACACATAACGAACAATCGAATTTACCGCCCTACGGATACGTTGCATTTGAGAAGAAGTAGTGCCGGAGACTACCTCTAGACAATAATTTACCTGCGATAGCAGCAAGGATACAACCACTCTCTTCCTTACATGAAAAGGCAAATAAGCATTAAGATATTCTTTGAAAATTTCCAAATTCGTTCCAAATGGTGGAGGGTATTCAAATTTCGGCCCGGCCGAACTTACTGCTTTTTAACTTGTTACAATTTAAAGTTCTATATAGCTTAAAAAACCCTTTATTTGATGTTATTGTTGTAACAGTTTTACATGTTATGTTTCGACTACTTTAATGGGCTGTAACCAGAGGTCTTCAGGAGTGAGAGAGGTATGATCGGCCGGGTAATTTAAAAGATGCAGCGTATCACTCGCCGGGCAGACGTTACGCCCATTATGGGGTATTAGAAACTGCATACTACATTGTAGCCTACACTCTGGCCTTTCCAATATGTATTGATATCTCTTGAAGTTCCGAAGATATTGGTGTTGCAAATCATGAAATTGAGATTTCCTCCACTATTATGTATCTAACCATTATAGCTTTGTAGTTCCGAAGATATTGACTTTAAAGTCGAATTCCGGATACTTACAAAAAATAACAATATTCAGAAAAACTAGTTACAAAAACTATAATATTAAAAAAATTATGGATCGCGTAGCCGGTGTTAGACATACCGTAGAGAAGAAAATGTCAATGGCCAAAGGCCGGCTACCTACCAAAATTACAATGTTTAGAAAAACTATGGATCGCGTAGCCGGTGTTGGACGTACACCAAAATTACAATGTTTAGAAAACTATGGATCGCGTAGCCGGTGTTAAACATACTCCAGAGTAGAAAATATCATACCACGTTAGTTAGAAAATCTCATACCATAGGTTACTTTAAAATGCTTACATACCTATTAGTGGAGAAAAGAAGCATCGAAAGATACCCCAATCTCAGTATATGCTATGCGTTTAATTAAAAACTACGCCAACAGGGCTTTTATGCATTCAAACTTGCTTATTCAGGAATGTGTTAATAAGGAATCTAATTTCACATGGGAAAATACTAATTACGTCTCACCGTTGGGTATTAACTTGTACATGTCTCTGGAAGATATTCAGTGTCCAGAATTTTACGTTAGCACCTCTCGTGGAATTCACAGGGGCTAGTTAACAACTTAGACGAACAAACTTTCGTTTGATCATCTCTGTTGTTTAAGTGTAGGTTAGGTTTAGGTTAAGTTAGTTTTAAGGTAAATAAAATGAGACATGCTCTCAAACATTGTAGTGCCGGGAGCAAGCACGATATACACACTTAGTTTAGTAAACACTAATTAACAAATTTTAGTAAAGCCAGACGCTGAAAATACGCTTTAGTCATTAAAACAAAACATTATAGTTTTAAGCATTTCTTTCTTCACTTCAAAATTGTAAATTTTCGTGTTAAAAAAAAAACAAAGACTCAATAAGTTTGAATTGAATTGAAATTGCATTACTCCGGAACCGGTTCCAATAACCCTATCATATGACAACTTGTTGGATAGGTAATTCCAGAAGCTTTCAAATGATACCCATTTCGAACTTTCGGGTCAAATAACTGGGTAACCGGATATTTCTCCGACGAAAATTTACTTTCCTTTAATCAGGTTAAAAATACACACCTGCGGTAAGAATTTCAAAATGATCTGAGCATAGATTCTAAACTCAACTTGCTCCCATTTTGGCAGGTCTGGATATTCTTCCACTGCATAGCACTTATATTCGCAGACCGCAATGGGCCCGCATAGCTGGCCACAGACCGACCTATCGCGTTATAAGAGGTAAAAAGATCTTCTTGTTAACACCCCAAGTGCTGCCGGCTAGCGCCTTGAGTAACTTATCCCAACTTTTTATTTTGTCGCAGATAGCTGTGGCTTGTACGGACGACTTAAACATGCTGTCGAATGTGATTCTTGGATCTTGGGGTAGCTCGTGGTCGGTATATATATTTTCCTCGGCCTGCACATTCAGCTTTGTTCTCATCTCCGCAGATCATGTGGTGAAGAATGTGGCCGTTGATTTCGAGGCGGATATCTTCATATTCCTCGAGTGGAAGTATGCGGCAAGCTCCGCAAGATAGGTGTTCAACCTTAAACATATGTCATCGCATACGTAACGATCTCTATGTCATCTGGCGGGCGAGACTTTCCGGAAAAGTAGAGAGTTCCGGAGATATCACCTCACCTTAGGGAACTCCCTGTTTCACTCCACGGGGTTTGGACTTCTTGTTCGGGAATTCCACTTGGCCGGAGGGTTGTTCTCTCTCTCTCTGGTTTCTTCCTCGACTGGTATGTACGGATATGGCATGCAATGCTGTGTGGACGGAATCCCTGTTGATGGATAGCTTTCTCTGATGCTCGGGATGAGTAAAGCCACAAGAATATTTGCTACTGGCGGCAAAACGGAAATTAGCCCTTTGCTGGCTTCAGTAGCGACCACCCGGAACATTTCCCGGTTTCGGGAACTATGTGGATAGTTAGAGGAAGGATGAGAGCTTTTGTCAGGTACTCAAGTCCGGCGTATCTAGTTGTTTTAACATTACCATTGAGATTTCGCCTCGGAATGATTTTTGCAACATCACCTATTGTAAACTTTGATGGTGCCTCCTTGGCGGAAAGAGATCTGATATGACGTAATACTCTGTCTCAGGTTGCTCGATAAAGTGTGGTGTTCAGAGGTTATAAAATCGGACGATCTGCTTATAGAGACTGTTATCGGAACAAGGTCTCATCGATGAGAAATTACGTGTTGCTAGGTCACGCCATTTATCAGACAGGGTGACACTGTGTTTAAGTCTGGCGTGACACTATTGTTAAGTGTTTTTCGGGTGAGAACATCCTCGTTAACCGTGCAGAATATGGAACAGTCTATCTGCTCTGCCAGCGCTGATCCCCTCGTTCATACCTGGGACGGAATGCCACAACTCATAGCTGGCATTAAAATCCCCTAGTACCAGACGGTTATTGCCTACCAACCTACCTCTGAGCCGTTGGAATTAAATTCCAAGAAAGATGCACAGTCCGGAGTTGGAACAGCAACTTGTGGCGTAAGATACTGCGGTATAGGTTGCCGTTCGGGAGACTGTGGTGGAGTTCCGTACTCCGACGAAGACTCAGAAGCGTACGACGTAGACTCGCTGCGCACTATGTTGCTGCAGCACGTCACAATATAATCCTTTTCGATGTAGTTTCTCAACCGACTTAATCCGGAACAGCACCCATTTTTCGAAACAGACCAGTGGTGGATAACGTTCTGACAAACTGAGCAGAATCAGGTTCGGGGTTTTCTTCGGTCCCGGCACGGACTAAAATAATTCGGAGCAGGCATTCCTTGTTATGTTGCTCCCAAAAGAAGAAAAATAAACAAACATATACAGCAGCCACAGGTCCGGATTTACACTACCGATACAGACAATATAGGTATCATATAAAACCTTATGAAAAGCAAAACCTATAAGAAACTTATGAAAATCAAAGCCCATCTGACCATTGTCAAAATACATATTTGTGATCAAATCATAATAGTGTAAAAACTAATAAGTTTATTTTTGCGGTTGTTGTGGTAACAGTGGTGTATGTTAGGTGCTTTATATGCTGCTAATCTGGTTCTGCTTCAAAGACCATGTTTAGGAAATCTGCTACACTTATGGACTTAGATCTTGGGCATAGATCTTCTGGATTGAGTTTTATAAGTTTGGCAGGACATTTGGATAGATGCAGCTTATTATGCGGGCCTGTATTGCACGCTGGGCCGACATTCCTTGCACCTTGATCAATCCATGCCCAATATTAATTGAAACGTCTGCACCATTGTTGTTGTAGCAGCTCATACATCTGTGTTCTTTCGGTTTCCATTTTCTTCAGTTCAGTTCAGTCAGGTTCTGCCTCTAAGTCCAGTCTCAAAAAGGATGCAACCTGTATGGGTTGTGTCCATAACGAGACTAGAGTTAGGTGAGTAGGCTTGGCTGGGAAGCGAAATAGGTGCAGCGTGTCATGTGGGCCTGTGCCACATGCTGGACAGATGTTCTACATGTCGCCGTTAATCCGGGCCCAGTAGGACTTTAGGCGGCTGCACCATCCGGATCGTAATTGAGCCAAAACTACTCGGGTTTGTCGGGGCAGCTCTAGTTCTTCAGCTGCGAGGGAAGGGGGATGGTCTCCTAGCACAGTATTCACACTGTATCCTTCAATGGCTTCTGAGACCGCATTAGAGTGAATACTATTCAGTCCCGCTTGATAGGCCTGTTGATCTAGAGGCTCTCTCTTATACCTCTGTACCTCTCTCTCTAGATCATGAAGGTCTTTCCTAACGTGCCTGGGCGGAGGTTGCCTATCCACAAGATGGTGATTTGGATGGCTTTGTCTATAACACCTAAGCAGGTATTGCATTGACAGCATTTTGTTATGCTGTCGCACCGGTAAGGTGATCGACAGGTGTCATGAGAAGGCACCCTATTGCGGTTCTAAGGGCGGCATTCTGGCAGGACTGAATATTTTTCCACTGCGTAGCACTGACGTTGGCGGACCACACCGGAGCCGCATAGTTTACCACAGACCGGCCTATCGCGTTGTAAGAGGTCAACAAGGTTTCCTTATCAGCTCCCCAAGTACTGCCGGCCAGAGACTTGAGGACCTTGTTCCTACTTCTAATCTTGTCGCAGATAGCTGTGGTATGCGCGGACGACTTAAAAAGGCTATCGAATGTGACCCCTAATACCTTGGGGTAGTTGGTGGTCGGAATAATAGCACCATCGACCTGCACATTCAAGGATAGCCCCATCTCCGCAGTCTATGTGGTGAAAAGTGTGGCCGTCGACTTAGTGGCGGATATCTTCATATTCCTCGCAGTGAAAAAGGCGGTAAGATCAACAAGGTAAGCGTTTAACCGATCGCAAATGTCATCAATAATGGGTCCGGACGCCACGAGCGTACAATCATCTGCGTACGTTATAATCTCTATGCCGGAGATATCACCCCACCTTGGGGAACTCCCTGTTTAACTCTACGGATGCTCGACTTCTTGTTTCTGAAATCCACGTACGACTGGCGTCCACACATGTAGCTTTGTAAGATACTCAACTCCTGGTTCATCAGTTGCTTCAACATCACCATTAAGATTTCGTCAGGACCAAGCGCTTTGGATGACTTTACGCTTCTGATGACCTGTGCAACATCTGCCAACGTAAATTGTGGTGGACGAACACGAACATGTATTTGCTGGGTTGGCGGCCCCTGGTCGGAGAAATGTGCCTCCGATTCAATCCGGTACATAGAACCGGCCGCCGTGGGATTGGTCTGCACCATTGTAGTGTCGTGAGTTGACATCATTGACTGATTGTTTCAATGCATCATTCTTTTTCTATGTTTTTGCTAGGTCACAGCATATTGATCTTCTCTTTATAGATATGGGCTCAGCCGCTCATCATCATACATTCTTCCAACTCTAAGCAATGTTTTAACTTCGTTGATTTATCAGCCTTAATAAAATATAGTTTTTATAATGTCAAACGCGTGCCTTTTATTTCCTCAACAAACACAATAAAATTGGCGACGAGGATAAAACAGAAAATCGAAAATGCAAACCACAGAATTAAAGCTGTACAGTCAAATCAATTACAAAAACAACATTATGTCGAAATATATAAATTATTGCAAGAAATTGCCACTATAACAAATGCTCTGCAACAACAACAGACTCATCAAACGAATTTCTCTAACATTATTGTAATGTCTAATTTCGAGCAATTTAATCGAGAAACGGAATCATCGGAAATATATATGGAACGATTGGTAATTTATTTGCAAATGAAAGGTGGGCTTAACTCTAGTTTAGTAAAAACTCTTCAATTTTTTCGAAATGTTTTCCAGTGGTAGGTATTTTTACCCTGATCCAGGGAAACTATTTTTTTCTTGGGAGACGGACCCGGGACCACAGATTTTTGATCCCAAAGTCCGGGTTCAGGACCCCGACTAGACCCGCATCCAATTACCAGATATATACAATATAGGTATCGTTGGAATACCTATCCAACAAGTGGTCACATGGTTCAGAATTTCTAGTCAAATAATCGATTTTTTGGACCCATATTTTTTATAAAACCCCCAAAAAGTCCAAAAAGGGTCCATTATGGGAGTCGACAAAATGTATAGCTGATACTCTCACCTTTCCAAAATGCTACAATTTGTGCTAATACCTTTACTGAGTCCAGAGATATGGGTCTTTCCATCCGCATAAACCGATTCTAACCAGTTCATTAAAATTATGTTTTCAATAAAAAAAGGTTTATTTCGCGTAGCCGTCGTTGGATTACAAAAGCACCACATTTCAAAAACCTTGGTTCGCGTTAGCCGATGTTGGACATACTCAGAGGAGAAAATCTCAAGCCCCCGCCGAAGGCCGGCTATTTACAAAAAGTGTCAAATTTAGAAAACTTTGGTTCGTGTTAGCCGGTGTAGAACATACACAGAGGAGAAAATCTAAAGCCCCGGCCGAAGGCCGGCTAATTACAAATGGTATCAAATTTAGAAAACTTTGGTTCGCGTTAGCCGGTGTGGGACATACACAGAGGAGAAAATCTAAAGCCACGGCCGAAGGCCGGCTAATTACAAATGGTATCAAATTTAGAAAACTTTGGTTCGCGTTAGCCGGTGTGGGACATACACAGAGGAGAAAATCTGAAGCCCCGGCCGAAGGCCGGCAAATTACAAATGGTATCAAATTTAGAAAACTTTGGTTCGCGTTAGCCGGTGTAGGACATACACAGAGGAGAAAAACTAAAGCCCCGGCCGAAGGCCTGCTAATTACAAATGGTATCATATTTAGAAAACTTTGGTTCGGGTTAGCCGGTGAGGGACATACCCAGAGGAGAAAATTTCAAGCCCCGGTCGAAGGCCGGCCACTTACAAAAGGTATCCAATTTAGAATACTTTGGTTCGCGTTAGCCGGTGTGGGACATACCCAGAGAAAAAAATTTCAAGCCCCGACCGAAGGCCGGCCACTTACAAAAGGTATCCAATTTAGAATACTTTGGTTCGCGTTAGCCGGTGTGGGACATACCCAGAGGAGAAAATCTGAAGCCCCGGCCGAAGGCCGGCTATTTACAAAAAGTGTCAAATTTAGAAAACTTACCCAAAGGACATAATCTCAAGCCCCGGCCGAAGGCCGGTCACTTACAGAAGGTATCCAATTTAGAAAACTTTGGTTCGCGTTAGCCGGTGCGGGACATACCCAGAGGAGAAAATCCGAAGCCGAAGGCCGGCTATTTACAAAAAGTGTCAAATTGAGAAAACTTTTGTAATTCCAAAGACGGCTACGCGAAATAAACCTTTTTTTACTGAAAACAATTTTAATAAACTGTTTAGAATCGGGTTATGGGGATGGAAAGACCCATGTCTCTGGACCCGAAAAAGGTATTTGCCCAAATTGTAGCATTTTGGAAAAGTAAGAGTGTCAGCTATAATTTGGCCCCCATAATGGGCCCTTTTTGGACTTTTTGGGGGTTTTATAAAAAATATGTGTCCAAAAAATCGATATTTTGACTATAACTTCCGAACCTTGACTATTTACCCATGTGACCACTTGTTGGGTAGGTATTTTTATAAGCTTTCCTATATTGGGTCTGGGTCCAGACCGGGTCTTAAACCCGGATTTTCGGGTAAAAAATCTGGGATCCGGGTCCGTCCCCCAAGAAAAAAATAGTTTCCCGGAATCAGGGTAAAAATACCTACCTCTGGAAAAAATTTCGAAAAAATCAAAGAGTGTTAACTAAACTAGAATTGTTCCGAAAGGTGTTTTTCAAGACAAGTCGATGTGTGCAAAATTGTTATTGCAATATGTGGGTGCCGCAAATTATTCGATATTGGCAAATTTGGTGGCACCAAAGACCAGGGATGCCAACTGCTCCGACGTAAAAATCGCTACAAATAAATTTTTTGACTAATGCCATGTTTATGTTAGAGCTTTTTGTAGGGTAAACCTACATTAAGAGGATTTATTGCAAGTATAAGTAATGGATATGACAATTTTAATCCAATTCCAGTGGGTTAACCCCTTTCTATGTAAGCGTACTGTAAGGCCAACAAACACTATGAAAATTTGAAAATATTTAAAGCATCAAATTTTAGAATAAGTTTAGATTTGTTCGAATTGTTCACCTTTGGCACCAATTATGGCCTTCAAACGGCCAACGAAACCGTCACGCGCTGCCTGAATGGCCCATTGTTCTTTGGTCCGTTAATCTTTTTTGTTTGCTTTAAAAGTGATGACAATAAACAATCGCTACAACAACTACAACTGTCTTAAACAATTAATGTCTCTACTGTAGCGATTTAAAAAAGAAAATCTCTACAACTCTTAAGCAGTGATTTTATACGTCAAAAATCACCAAAATTAGAGGGAAACCAACAAAGACCGTTTACCAGCTAACATACGATGAAATTGTCCAAAAAATATACTGGTGGAACAACACAAATTTTTAAATGAAATACAAAATGAAGACCAATGTATTTCTGATTTTGTTGTTGTGTTACAGAAGCGAGCAGCGGGATGCAAGTTTGTGTTTTAGTTGTCAAAAATCAGTGTCAGACATATCAAAGGCATTTGATAAGTCAATAATACTGTTTGAGGACGTGCAGAGAACCGCCCTCTGGCCAAGTTTGAAACGTTGGTCGGGCCCAGTAGTCGATGACAAATGTAAAAGGCTGAACCCCTATCTCGCGGAGCTTGACGCTTACTTCCACGGGAGGAATATTAAAATATCCGCCACGAAATCAACGGCCACACTCTTTACCACATGGCCTGAGGAGATGAGAACAAAGCTGAATGTGCACATCTCAAACAATTTCGGTGGGTATTGTACCTAAACTAAAGACTCATTACGAACTCTAAATACGTAATTTGAAACATCAAAATACCGAATATCGTGGGTTCCGTTTTATGGGGGCTATAAGAAGACGTGGACCAGCACAGACAATTTTCTGTCATAGGCTGTAGTATCCATTACGAACTTCAAATATTAAATTCGAAACAATTCCGGTTAATAATGTCGCTAAAACCATCAAAATGTCGAATATAAAGAAGTACTGTTATATGGGGGCTATACGAAGACGTGGACCTATATGGTCCATTTACGAAAAGATAGCGTGTTTACAACAGACAGACAGACAGTCGGAATCAAGAATGTATATACTTTGTTGGTTCTGACATGAGTATTTCGAGGAGTTACAAACGGAATGACAAAGTTAATATACCTTCCATAGTATGGTGGAGGGTATAAAAATATATAATTTATCACCGAATTAAATTACTAGCAAACAAACCAATCCCACGGCAGCGGGTTCTACGACACCGGATTGACCCGAAACAACAACATTCCAGTTTCGGCCAGCGGCTGCCAACCCAGTGTATACATGTTCGTGTTTGTTTATTTTTCTATATTGGGAGCAGCACATCCCGGAATGCTTGCTCCGGATTCTTTTGGTCCGTGCCGGGCTTGAGGAAAACCCCGGACCATGGTTCTGTACGGTTTGCCAAAACACCATCCACCATAGATCAGTCTCGGTGCGATGTAATGAATGCAGAGGATGGGTGCATTTTAGGAATTGTTCCGGTTTAACCCGGTTGCGAGACTATAGCAATAGGGACTATGTTGCTTCGTGCTGTACCAACGTAGTCCCCAGTGAGTCCACGACCTCGTCGTCAACTTCCGAGTCGTCGTCGGAGTATGGAACTCCCCCGCAGTCTCCAGAACAGCAACCTTTACCGCAGCACTTAACGCCACATGTTGCTGTTCCAATTCCGGACAATGCATCATTCTTGCAGTTCAATTGCAACGGACTCCGAGGTAAAATTGATGAGATAGTGGATTTTATGAATCGGAGGAATATTAAGATCGCAGCGGTGCAGGAAACCAAGCTCAACGAAAATTGTAGCTTACAACGTTGCAATGATTACAACGTATTGAGGAAAGATCGCACCAGAAGTGGAGGTGGGGGATTAGCGTTCCTGTTACACCATTCTGTTCAATACAGACCTATCTCGCTTGAGCTAGTCTCTAGTGACCCGAACATGGAGTGTATGGGGTAGCAGTCAAGTGTGGTACTGCCGAGGTAGAGGTGCTCAATGTGTATTTCCCGCCGGTTTATAGCTGTGAACCGCGTTACTTGCCTAATATAAGCCCACTTTTGGAAGGCAATAACCGCCTGGTACTAGGGGACTTCAATGCCCACCATGAGTTGTGGCATTCCGTCCTAGGTAATGACCAGAGGGGATCAGCGTTGGCAGAGCAGATTGACTGCTCCACATTTTGCACGGTAAACGAGGATGCCCCCACCCGAATAAGAGGAGAGTGTCACAGTTCGCCAGATTTAACCATCGTGTCACCCGGTCTGATAAATGCCGTGACTTGGCAACCCGTCGTTTCTCTTGGCTCAGACCATCTCCCGATAATCGTCTCCATCAGCAGATCGCCCGATTTCATAACCTCTGAACGCCGCACTTTCCTTAACCA